CCAAGCTTCCAGGCCCGCTCTGAGCCTCCACTGAAGGCACCAAGTTCAATTATAGAAGATAAATAAACCCCAGATTCCTGCTTTCAGCCGGCTGTGGCCATAGAGCTGGAGCGAGCAGGTGCCGGCTCTGAGCTCCACTGAAGGCAACAAAGTTTCAATTATAGAAGGTAAATAAATTCCAGAATTAAAAAAAAAAAGAAAAAAAAAGGAGAGGCTGGGAGCTTCCGTTACCGGGGGGCTTGGCCAGCCTGAAAACAGCCTTCAGCCCCTTACCCAGACTGGCCAGGCACCCCAGTGGGGACCCCCACCCTGAAGGGGGTGTGACCAGCCTGCAAGCACCCATCAGCCCCTCACCCAGGCTGGCCAGGCACCCCAGCGGGACCCCCACCCTGATCCAGGACACCCTTCAGGGCAAACCAGCTGGCCCCCACCCGTGCACCAGGCCTCTATCCTATATAATAAAAGGGTAGTACGCAAACTGACCCTTTCAGCAGAGCAACTGGGAATCACTGGTCACTATGACACACACTGACCACCAGGGTGCAGATGCTCAATGCAGGAGCTGCCCCCTGGTGGTCAGTGCACTCCCACAGGGGGAGCTCTGCTCAGTCACAAGCCAGGCTGATGGCTGCCAGTGCAGCGGTGGTGGTGGGAGCCTCTCCTGCCTCCTCAGCAGCACTAAGGATGTCCAACTGCAGCTTAGGCCTTCTCCCCGGTGGCAAGTGGACATACCCCGAGGGCTCCCGAGCTGCCAGAGTGATGTCTGATTGCCAGCTTAGGCCCAATTCCCCAGGGAGCGGGCCTAAACCAACTGGTGGTCATCCCCAAGGGGTCCCAGACTTCAAGAAGGCACAGCCCAGGCTGAGGGACCCCCCCCCCCCGAGTGCACAAATTTTTGTGCACCGGGTCTCTAGTATAGGATAATGTCTTACTATGGACAAGGCCTCTAATTCAGTTTTTTTTAGGTAGTTAAAGGGAGGGGCAGAATTTTCACTTGAGCTTGAAGCTAAAATTGTCCTTAGCTCAAAAGTCTTCATACCACTGAGACACATCTTGGTGAGGCTCATTCTGAACCCCTACTCTGTTCTATTATGTGTATAAGTATTGGGAACCATCTTATCTCTTTAGTGAAAGGAACCTTTTGTTATGTTACAATGACTAACTTTATCTCATGAGTTGTGTTTTGGCTTCAAGCCTGTATCCAGTATTCATGCAGCAACTTCAACTCTTCTGTTCCGTATTTATCTGGTATATATTTTATTTTATTTTTTCTCTAAATCTTCCTAAATTTTTATGTATTAGATAGGAATAGCCCATGGACACAGATAGTAGTCTGGCAAAGGCCTGAAAGTGGCGGGTGCAGGGTGGAGAAGATCAATGAGAAAAAAAAAAACTAAAACAAAGAGACATCTGTAATTCTTTCAACAATATATATTTTAGATAAGGAAAATATCTTAGTTGAAAAGAGTTTTATGTGAAATAATACAAGTAATTGCTCTACAGTGTACTTTATATTCTCAACTCCTCTCAAAGAGATATTAATTGACCTATGTTCACTTAATATTAATTGACCCTATGTTCACTGACTGCAGGACTGACTTCCGCCACGCCGACCCTGCACTGACTGCCACGGGGGCTGTGATCAGACCCTGCTTTTCTCTCTGAGCCTTTGTCCGGGCCTGATCGCAGCCCCCTCTGCAGTCAGTGCTGTGTCGCTGAGGCGCCCACAGCACTGACTGCAGGATTGACTTCCGGTGTTTAGTAGAGCCTTCGGTCGTTTTGGACGTTACAGACCTTGGCTCTTTATATATATAAATATCAGATTCAGAGATGGAAGAATTTTTCCTGGATTACTTAGCTGATTAATGACATGGCAGATGGTCTCATTTTCTAGTTTAGTGCCCTAAATTAATATCAAGCTGGTATTCTCAGCGTCTCCATTGGAGAAACCCCATATAGCATCATATTTGTACTTATAAATTGTGTGCTATCCCTGATGTTGACACAATGAAGTTCAAGTGATAAAAATTTTCTTTAGACTTAAGAATTAGAAATGTGAATTTAAATTTTCAATCTTCTCTAATGAGATCTCCACATATGATATGAACTCAGTGCCAGCCTGCAATGAGTTTTAACTGGAATGTAGCAAAATAAAGACAGTGCCCTATGAAGGAGAGCGGGAGTTGGTATTAAGTTGCCATCTCTCCTTTCTTGGAAGGAACTCTACTATTGTTAAAATGCCCTTTTTTTTTTTAATTACTAAAGTGACATAATTTTATGGTAGATTTTATTGTAAATTTTCTTACATATTACTCTATTACTGTCCCCCAATTTTTAAAATTAAAGAGTTAAATTGAAAAGTAACTAGTTTTATGTCAAAAGGTTGAAACTGTATTAAACAATATCGATTGTTAGATTTTATGTGCCCAACTTGACACTTTATAGACAATATGTAAATAAAGAGCAGTCCTAATTTAATAGTTAATAGGATATGATGGTGACAATTAGCATCAGTAACTGTAAAGATTTCTCTTAGCATTTTTCATATGTGAAGGCATTTTTTACATTTAAATTTATTAGTACACATTAATTAAGCACATAGCTTTTCCTGAACACTGTGTTAAGTTTGGGATAATTTTCTACTGGACCTGACAGATTGTGTTTCTTTTATTTTTTATGTATTTATCTTTTATTTATTTTTTATTTTTCCCCATCACCATTTATCCCCTCCATGCCCTCTTTCATCTTCTCCCAACCTCCCTCCTAGCCCACAATCAACACAGTGTTGTCTGTGTCCAGGGGTTCGTTCTCTCTCTCTCTCTCTCTCTCTCTCTCTCTCTCTCTTTCTCTCTCTCTCTCTCTCTCTCTCTCTCTCTCTCTCTCTCTCTCTTTTTGCTTAATCCCTCCACTTTTTAGTCTGCGGTAGTCTGATAGTTGAAAATGGTTTTTCGGTTTCTTACATTTCCTTAATTATGACTAAAATTTTATTTTTCTAAATTTCTTGTTTGTGATATCTGCCCATTTTTATATTGAAACACTTGTCCATCTCTTATTGCTTAATAGAAACTAGCATTATGGGTATCAACCTGTTTTCCAAAGTGTATGCTGCAGATATCCTTTTCCTTGTTTGTCTTTGTTATTTGACTTCCTTTATGTTGGATTTGCTTTGTTTTTATAATGTAGATTAGAGGCCTGGTGCACGAAATTCGTGCACTGGAGGGGTGTCCCTCAGCCCAACCTGCACCCTCTCCAATCTGGGACTCCTTGGGGGATGTCCAACTGCCCATTTAGGCCTGATCCCTAAACAGGCAGTCAGACATCCCTCTCACAATCCAAGACCGCTGGCTCCTAACCACTTGCCTGCCTGCCAGCCTGATCGCACCCTAACCTCTCCCCTGTTGGCCTGATTGCCGCCTAACTGCTCCCTTGGCGGCCCGATCATCCTCAACTACCCTTCCCTGGTGGCCGATCGCCCCCAACTACCCTCCCTGCCAGCCTGGTCACCTCCAACTGCTCGCCCCTGCCGGCCTGGTTGCCCCCAACTGCCCTCCCCTGCCGGCCTTGTCGCCCTCAACTGCCCTCCCCTGCTGGCCTTGTCGCCCTCAACTGCCCTCCCCTGCCGGCCCGGTCACCCCCAACTACCCTCCCCCTTGCTGGCCTGATTTCCCACAACTGCCCTCCCCCCTGCTGGCCTGATTTCCCACAACTGCCCTCTGCTGAGGGCCATCTTGTGGTGGTCATCTTGTGATGACGTGGGTGCGGCCATCTTGTGGCCATTTTGTGACCACGTGAGGGCGGCCATCTTGTGATGACGGGGGTGGCCATCTTGTGATGACGTGGGGGCAGCCATCTTGTAGCGGCCATCTTGTGACAAAATAGGGGTGGCCATCTTGTGATAATGTGAGGGAGAGAGGGCCACCTAGGCTTTTATTAGTATAGATTTTCTTAAGTTTGGGAAGGGAGTCTTATCTTTCCCTTTATGGTTACTTGATTTTCTATCAGGCTGAGGAAGATCTTTCCCTACTCTAAAGTGACATATTTTTTTTGTAGTCTTTCATGGTTTGTTCCTGATTCCTTTCAACAAATTTATAGTATAGTGTGTTTATGCCATTATACTATAACGAACCATTTTCCTATTGACAGATATGTCTTCAGTTTTTAACTTATATGGACAATATATCTGTGAACATCCCTGTCTCGGAATGACTTTGTGTAGGATAGATTTCTACTGGAAATAGAAATAATGAGTAATTGGAGTCTCCTGACTTTATTTCCATTGGTAATTTTAGTGAATTTTTATTCAATTATGTGTTTATATAAGATATGTAGTGAAGGTATTTTATTTCATGCTAAAAGTTTTTCTGATTTATATAAATATGTAAGGGGGTTTAGCTTTAAATTTCATTGAAAACTTTTATATAGATACATAGTTTTATTGGTTCCGCACATTTTCCAAAAGAACCATATTTGTTTTGGTTTTTAATTATGAATTTATGCTGTATCTTTTATTAAGTTAAAGAGAATTATATATATATATATATATATATATATATATATATATATATATATTTAAATATATTTTATTGGTTTTTTTTTACAGAGAGGAAGGGAGAGGGATAGAGAGTTAGAAACATCGATAAGAGAGAAACATCGATCAGCTGCCTCCTGCACGCCCCCTCCTGGGGATGTGCCTGCAACCAAGGTACATGCCCTTGACCGGAATCCAACCTGGGACCCTTGAGTCCGCAGGCCGACGCTCCATCCACTGAGCCAAACCGGTTAAGGCAAGAGAATTATATTTTTATATAGACTCCAAATAATAATGTTTTTAAGAACTCTTTTAGGAAAATTTTTTTATTCTTCTAACATATTGGCAGGAAAATCTTTAATCTCTGTCTTATAGGTCTCAGTAGAAACATCCTTGAAGTTAATCATTAAATGACATCTTCTGCTCTTAGATTTGCAGGAAAGCATATCCAGAATCCATCGAACTATTGAACTAATGTACTCGGACAAATCTATGATCCAAGTAAGTTAAATTTTGAGCTAGTAAGCATTATAAAAATTATTATATGTTTTATTTATCTTAACCAAATTCTTCTTACATGTTTTGTTATAAAATTGCTGAACTTAAAGAAGCCATATTAATATTTACCCCATTCAGTTATATTTTCATTCTGTATTTATTGCTTACTCTTTTTATTATTTTTAATAATAAAATATATCAGAATTCCCTTTAATATTTAAAAATAAAATTATGAGAGAGTCATAAGGTTGTTTAAAGATATTAAGATTATGGGAGAAAGTATAGGACTCAATTACATTTTAAGTTCTGGTAAATATATTCTAATGTTTAATAGAATAAGCCATTTTGGTAAACTGAACCATCAGTTTATAATTTTGAAGATTTAGACAAATCATGTGCTTTATATAAAAATATAAGCTCTTAATTCAAAAGAAAGAAGTGAAATAGATCAACAAATACTTGCATAAAATACATTTTCAAAGTTTTAAAAATCATTCAATTTATACATCTGTCTGCTTTCCACATATTTAGCTTATCTTCCCCTTCTTTTATTATTTTGTAGTTTAATATTTTTCAAACTTTTAATCTCAGCCAATTTTCTTTCATTAGGAAATATGCTTCTATGTATCCTCTAGTCACATAGTTTGTGTGTTTCATGGAATGTGGTACAGTAAAGAGACTCTTGATTGCTGTTTAACTCTTCTGTTTTCATATTTAGGTTCCTTATCGCTTACATGCTGTTTTAGTTCATGAAGGCCAAGCTAATGCCGGGCACTACTGGGCATACATTTTTGATCATCATGAAAACAGATGGATGAAATACAATGATATTGCTGTGACAAGATCATCATGGGAAGAGCTAGTGAGGGACTCTTTTGGTGGTTATAGAAATGCCAGTGCATACTGTTTAATGTACATAAATGATAAGGCACAATGCTTAATACAAGGTAAGAATACGAAATATATATAGAGTACTGTATATTTTTAAATAAGTTATCCTTTTATGTGACTCTGGTCTCTGGTTTGATGAGTTATGTAAAATTCACGCAGGGAATGATGGATATGATTAGAAAAAGCTATTGGGTTATTGTGAGTAAACCCAAATCAAAATGTAATATGACCAGGGGTGAGAATTAGAATATATTTTGTATTCAAAGTTAACTATTTATTAACCATTGTAGAATGTAAATATGACATGTTTCTCCTTGCTTAAAATTCTCTAATGACTATAACACACATTGACTCATATTCAAGTTCCTCACCCTGACATATTTCTGACCTCTTGATTGTCTCTCCAGCCTCATTTATGACCATTGTCTATCCATTTCAAAATGATATTGAACTTCTTGCTGTATTCTGCTCTCACCAAATCATTTTATTCACACATTTGTATCTATATGTTCTTATGGGTTTTTTTATATTTTGCCTGCAATGTTCTTATTTCTTGCCTAATTCCTGCTCGTCTGTCAAAGTTCATTTTAAGTGTCATTTGCTTTGCAAGTCTTCCTTGTCTGCCAGAAAGAAAACTTCCTGGTATTCTCAGAGATCCCTCTGTCAGGCACTTACTGTGTGTTGCAGTTGTATGTTGACTTGTCTTTCCCACTTCACTCTGATCTCCCCAAAGCCAGGGACTATGTCATACTATGTCTTTTTGTTTTTTATATTCTAACATAGGGTTTGCATATAGAAAACACTTAATAAAGGTTTGTCGAAACTGATAAAATCAACCTTCCTTTAATTATTCAGCAAAACTAGCTAGGAAATCCACTTGTGATTGAAAAAAATTTAATTGGTGTTTGTGGAGTAGAAATTGAATAACTTAAGTAATATTTACACAATCTTTTAAAAATCTTTCTATGTTAATTAGTTTTCAAATTGCATACTATATAATAAAAGGCTAATATGCAAATCGACCAAACAGCAGAACAGCTGGTCACTATGATGCGCACTGACCACCAGGAGGCAAATGCTCAATGCAGGAGCTGCCCCCTGGTGGTCAGTGTGCTTTCACAGGGGGTGTGCCGCTCAGCCAGAAGCCCTGAGCCGGGCTCACTGCTGGTGAGCGTAGAGGTGGTGGTGGGAGCCTCTCCCGCCTCCGTGGCAGCGCTAAGGATGTCCAACTGCCAGCAATCAGACATCCGCTGAGGGCTCCCGGACTGTGAGAGAGCACAGGCCAGGCTGAGAGACCCCCCAATCCCCCCCCACACACACACACACCCTGAATGCACGAATTTCATGCACCAGGCCTCTAGTATGAATATATTGCTACTACTTAACTGCCTCTGATGAAAAAGAATTTTAGTTCTATTTTGAGCTTAATAAGGTTATGAGTTCTTTCTTCTCATTTTGTGGTAAGTTTTACTTCATGAATCATCAGACATCTGGTATTTTCTTATAACAGAAAAAGTAGTACTTACAAGTAGTCAGTGTTTGAGTAGCAATTTTGGCTTTATATTTGGTTGCATTTTTTACTCTTCCAATTAAAAATGAAAGATGAGAATATTAACTAATGGATTATCAAATATTTGAATCATTGATTTTCTGAGCATTTTTTGAGTTTTCTTTTAATTTCTAGGTAATATTTACTAACTGTAATAATTTATACTTTATATCTCATTTGAAATGCATTCTATTTGGAGCTTTGTATTTTTCCTTTAATTCTTAATTTTATATTAGTTTTTGAAATATAATTTGCAGAGGAGTTTAATAAAGAAACTGGGCAGGCCCTTGTTGGAATAGAAACATTACCACCGGATTTGAGAGATTTTGTTGAGGAAGATAACCAGCGATTTGAAAAAGAACTAGAAGAATGGGATGCACAACTTGCCCAGAAAGCTCTGCAGGAAAAACTTGTAGCATCTCAGAAATTAAGGGAGTCAGAGTCTTCTGGAACAACAGGTTAGTCCATTTTATTAAACCATGTCTTACTATCAATATATTTATTATTGATATTTTATTATAAAATAAGATACTTATTAAATAAAAAACAAATTTTAGTTATCTTAAAGTGTGAAGAAACTGGTAAAAATGATCTGAAATTTCATCACTCAGAGATAACCACAGGCCAAAATTTAGTTTACCCCTTTGCCAGACATCACTGTGTACATGTATAACTGACACTTGAATAACATAGGTTGGGTGCCAAACGCCTGAACAGTCAAAAATCTGAGTTCAATAAAGCTATCAATAAAATGAATTCAAGTGATTTTATATTTGAGCAAAATAACACTGTTCCATATATATTTTGAGTATACTCAAATATATAAATTTTTTCATTGTTCTTAAAATTAAAAATAAAAGTAGCCCAAACTAAATGTTTAATATATTCCAAGTAGAAATGTATGTAGAACTATAAAACAGAGATAAATGTATAAAAATATAAATATTAAAAAATATTCTAGTTATTAGCTGATGAAATCAATAAAATATTTAAACACTATGCAAAAATAAAGAAAATATGTTGTAGCAAAATTGAAAATAGAATGTCTTCTGATTTTTAAAAGATTAATTTCATCATCATCGAATTGTGAGTATGTTTTAGGGTAATATTTGCTACTGTAGGAAATGGTCTCTTGGGGATATTAGAAGAGATAAGTTAAACACATTTTTTTTTTCACACATTTGGCTCCTTTTTTATAACTCTGAATGGATCTTTTTGAATGACCTTTTTTTTTTTTTTTTTGCAAGGTCTTTGTGTTTTGTTTTTAGTTGTTTAGGAAGCAGCTTAGGTGTTTGTTTAATATATTTTGCAGGCACATCCCTAGGTGGGTTTTTGCAGTATCACTTGAACTTTAGAAGGACTTATTCTTTCAATGGGAGATTAACAAGGACTCAACTATTCAATTTATATAAAAACAAGTTACAAGTCTGAATAGTTGAGTCCTTGATCTTGATAGTAAGAGGCATTGATTTAGAATTTTTTAAAGACCAAGATAATGGTATTATACCAGCAAAGATACCAATGTCTTGATACATAGATGTAGTACAGTATATCGGAATAGCACCATTGCCATTTGGTGAGCTCTGCCATTATTAACAGCAGGACTGCACTTTCTTTCCATATATCAGGGGTCACTGTGTATAACGGGAGGTGCTGTGGTTTCATTACAGTGACTTTATAGGAAATGAAATAGCTCAGCAGGTATCAAAGAGGCCTCTGAGTGCAAATCGCAGTGTAGTGACTACATTGTATTTCTTTTCAATTTCAGCCAATTTCATCCCTTTGTGACTTCCTTCCTTGTTTTCTGTACATACCCTCACCAAACCACTGCCCTGAACTTCCCTCAAGATGTAGCTACTGTTTTATTCTTCCCTTAACTTTTACACAATTCCATTTGCATGTGGCTGTTCTCATTTCTAGTGGAATAATGGAGCTGCATAATTGGCATAACTGGTAGTGGTACTTAAACACTCAGATGAAGGTTATGCTCCAGTTCTACTCTTGGTTCATCTATATATTATGCCACCAAAAATATTAAATTCTAGAGTCTTCTCTTTATCTGGTCTGTTTCTCACAAGACTCTAAATTTACAGAGTTAGCACAGTATATTTCTACTAAGTCAAACTAATACATATTCCTACATAAGTGGACAATATTAACGCCTATCTGACAGGGCTAGTCAACTTTGCCCCACTATTTACATTTGTCACCTTCTATGTTCTCTATATAAAAGGTCAGATCTGTGTGCCTCATACCCTCTTTTCCTGATCAGAACATTCTACCATGCATGCACTTTATATGCTGTTTTGTAATTTTAAAAAATTCAGTAGAAGGTATTAGGCATGCATTTTCATATCTCTCAGTATTTAAAAAAACAACTCGAAGAAAATGCAACTATTTCAGAGAGGAAGTAGAATAAAAAATAAAAGAGGATGAAATGTCAGTTCAAATATAACTGTTATCCATAGTTATCTTCCAAACTGGATTTTTAGAAAGCAATATACCTTAATAGGAAACATTGTGTCCTCCATGGAAATGCTAGAAATAGGCACTTTGTTTGAGTTAGTAGAAATAGAATATGCTAACTCTATAAACTTGGGGCATAAGATTATTGCTGAAAAGATTGGTTTCTATTACTATAATAGTGGCCTGGTGCACGGATTCGTGCACATTGACATTAATTAGAAGAAATATTTTAATATCACTATTCGCCCTTTCTCTATAATAGAAGTGTCAAGCAAATTCACAATCGACAATGACAGATCAAAACACAGCATGTGATTGGCGCCAGGGAGAGCTTTATATGTATCATGCATGCACAAGTCAACTTAGCCTTTTATATATGTAGAATAAACTTGCTTAATTAGACCTGCTTTTTGATTTAGCTAAACATTTTCCAGCCCAGTGAAGCACCCCAACTTCTCTTTCAGGTAATTGTCAGCAACACAGCAGTAAATATCAACATGAAGCAGATTATTATTGTAGATCACACAGGGAGAACAAAGGGTAAAATATTTAACTGCAGCAGTGTTTGACTATATTCTGTGCAGTGAGAAAACCTGAAATCATTTTCAAGGCCCACCATTTCTTCTTTTCAGTTGGGTCAAGTTTCTAAGCTTTCTAAATCTCTGTTTTCTGGCTAATGAAAAGAAAATAGGATTCCACTGAGTCTCCTATCTACCTACTCCAGGACTCTGTGAGGATCAAATGAGATGAGGCACAGGAAGACGCTTCACAAACATTTGGTTAAAGTGTGAAATGTTTCCGCCTGGCTATAAAGCAAGTCCTGTTCCTGGGCTGAAGAAACTGCAAAGAGGCTAGTCCAGTAGTCGGCAAACTCATTAGTCAACAGAGCCAAATATCAACAGTACAACGATTGAAATTTCTTTTGAGAGCCAAATTTTTTAAACTTAAACTATATAGCTAGGTACATTGTTATTAACTTAATTAGGGTACTCCTAAGGCTTAGGAAGAGCCACACTCAAGGGGCCAAAGAGCCGCATGTGGCTCGCGAGCCACAGTTTGCTGACCAGGGGTAGTCGCTAGGGAGAGGGAGCTGGGCGTTGCTATATGACATCATTACCCAGATAGACACTTAGCATATTAGCCATATATATATGTATATGTATATGTATGTATGTATGTATATATGTATATATGTATATATATATATGTTAAATATCATATATATGTTAAATATCATACTAAGAAATTTGTCCTCCGTTGCAGGGGAAGTTAACATAGCTAACATATCACAGTTGAATAAAGGAACTTATAGTGTTTATTAGAACCACTTATCTGCTCTCATTAGTATTCTTTTTATTTCTCTTCACAGTTTTCTAAGTAATTTGTTTAATTTGGTATAATACTTTCAAAGTATCAAAGAAAACCTGTATTTATAGCTCTCAGTTGTGCACTAGGATTATGAAGTAATACAAGGAAATGTTGCTGATAAAATCCATCAGAGTGATTTTATTCCCTCCCTGCAAGTGTTCTCAGTAAAACTGTAACATAAGAGCTATTAAAATTCAATTTCTTCTGTGTGATATTCCAATAAGAAGATTAACTTATATAGTATTAATTCAATCAGTATTTGTTCTTCTAACATGAAACCCATAGGCATCACTTCTCTAATATCATTCATTGTCTTAATTAACAAAGTAATAAATGATGGAAAAGTATTATTTGATTTATCTTATGCTACCTCCTTATTCTGCTTACCAGAAAAGAGAACTTACCTGGACTCTTATGTTTGGAGATCTTCAGATAAGTTGAGGTATATCTCTGATTAAGCAGCATAGCTCTAGACTGCATTTGTAAAACAAAGAAATTAATGTGAAGAAGAGAAGAGCTATGCCTGATACTCCTATTTTACTAAAAATTTATTTGAAGTTGTTAGAACATACTATAGTATATTCAAATGAAAACAAAAGAAACCAAAACAAAAAAAGTAAGGTGGAAATGGTTAGTATTGGAATGAAATGCATTCCACAAGGTTTCATAATTTGCCTAGAGGCATCATGTAGAATTGGCTCTACGACTTCCCTAAAAATAACTTTTCTAAAAGTTAAAAATAAGCTGATGTTCCAGGAAAGTCCAGCTGGTTTCTGAGAGTAAGACCTGGTAGACGGAAGTGTTCTCAGTATTCTCAGGTTCCTTTCAACAGGAACTGGGTGATGTTCCTGTTTATCTAGCACAATAAGTGACATGTGATAGGTGCCCTTTGAATGTTTTCTGAATTGAATTCATTCCGTATGGAGATTTCAGTAACTGAGTTTCCTAGGGGTGATCCTCAGTGTATGAGAATGCCAACATTTTAAAAGTACAGCCAAGAACTCTTAAAAAAATGCCAAGAAATAAGGCAGTTTTAACATCAATATAACACTGGTCAGTCTTTAATTAAAAGTCATGTGTGAAAAAAAAAAAGTATAGCCAAAATTACTACACATTAGAGAAGCAGGCTAAAAATGTGTGGTGCAGATGTATCTCTTTTCTGGATATATTTTAAGTTTAACTGGTTTTTAAGCCTTTACCCCATCCCTCATTCCCAAAATTCTATTTGTGGTGGCACTCAGGAATCTGAAATTTTAAGTTTTTCGTGATTCATTATAGCCAGCATAGCATGGCTCTTTATAGACCACTTTTGGGGACTTGTCAGTTTTAATTATATTTCTAGCAATGAATGGACTACATGTCTTTGAAGCAGTCCTGTTTAAATGTTCTTCTAGATGTGAGTGTAATAAGTATGACTCATTAGTAAGTCAAGGTTTTAGATATTTCTGTAAGATATGAGATGTTGCTTTTTTTTAGTAGTTGATTAAAGAGCAGATCCTTACACTTTAACAGAAAACCAAATAGTTGTCAAGTTGACTCTCCTCTTAAAATATTGAAGAACATAACCAGGAAATATGCTTAAGTAGAATGCGTCCAAGCCCTCCCAATCTTTTACTTCAACGTGAAAGTGGACCAAAGGAGCAGGCTCAGAGTACTCTCAGAATGCTGGTCTATAACAACCAAACAGGTGAATGAAGCCCCTTCATTATGAACATAGAGCATGGCCGTCCAAAATGTCAGTGAAGCACCCATAGAACAAATGAATGATTTGAGAGGTACTTTAGGTACAGGGGTATTATATCCCTCCAGAGAGAACTGGTCACGTATGGTGAAATGAGTATGTTTAGGAGTTTGTAGCTGTAGGTAGGGAACCAAGGTAGACATCCAGGAAGTAAGAATAATAAATGATATGCAAGTAATCACCAGGTGTAATCCAAGTCAAAGCCTGAAAATTACATTAAACATTAAATGGAGGGACCAGTTAGTATATAAAGTGCCTACCATTTATATAGGCCAGCAATGAAGAGACTTCTGTAGGAGTACATAGGGTGAAGATAAATCATTGTGTGTATTTACACACACACACACACATACACACACAAAACTAACTCTTTCTCTTTTTGTTGTTTTTTTTTATACAAATAAATGGAAATTGCCTAGATAGATGGTAGGGTACTAGTTTCATGGTCCCTCTGGACAGAAGAATACAGTATAACCAGTAAAAAAATGTATTAACATGAAAATGTTTATTATATTAAGTTTAAAATATTCAGTATTATTATTTTTGCTTGAAAAATGTGGGTATGTGAAGTCTGGAATTATATAATACTAAAAATATTAACAATGCTTATGTCTGAGTAGCAGAAAGAGCTTTTTATTGTTTTCATTTTGGTTTTTTTGTTCTCAGCATGTTTTGTACTCTTCTGGTTTGACAAAATGAAGCCGAAATTTATTTTTGTTATGCGGACCCACCGTTATAATCTGACTCCTTTGTAATTCTTCCAAGACTGCTTCACTATGAATACCTTATGTTTTATTTAAACTAGATTATTACCCAGTACTCTTGCTTTAGGGAACTTTCCTATCATTGTTCATCAAGAATCCTTCATTTTTAAAATGTCCTCTATCAATATTCTTGAAATTCTATTCTTTAAGACCTTTCTCAAATTGTTTATGAACCCCCATAAAATTACCTCTGTATTGTTTATCTTTTTCTTCTTAATTCTAATCTATTTTCACTATCAAATTTATGTTGTATTTGTATTCTAATTTGTTTAAAATAAAGACATGTAGTGTAGAGACTCATTAATAGCCAGGATTTTATTAATCTTTTATCTGTCTTTGCAATGCCTTTGCATATGTTATTCCTTCTCCTCGAATCTTTTTCCCATATCCAAGATAATCCTCTCCACAAATCCTTCAAGACTCAGCCCAGTTGGCATTTCTTCTAGAAGGTGTTTCTTTTTTTTTCTTTTCTTTATTGATTAAGGTATTACATATGTGTTCTTATTGCCCCATTGCCCCCTCATCCCCCCACTCATGCCCTCCCCTGTTGTCCATGTCCATTGGTTAGGCTTATATGCATGCATACAAGTCCTTTAATTAATCTTTCCTGCTTACCCCCACCTTCCCCTACCTTCCCTCTGAGGTTTGACAGTCTGATTGATGCTTCTCTGTCTCTGGATCTGTTTTTGTTCATCAGTTTATGTTGTTCATTATATTCCATAAATGAGTGAGATCATGTGGTATTTTTCCTTCATTGACTGGCTTATTTCACTTAGCATAATGCTCTCCAGTTCCATCCATGCTGTTGGAAGTGGTAAGAATTCCTTGTTTTTTACCTCAGTGTAGTATTCCATTGTGTAGATGTACCACAGTTTTTTAATCCACTCGTCTGCTGATGGGCACTTAGGCTGTGTCCAAATCTTAGCTATGGTAAATGGTGCTGCTATGAACATAGGGGTGCATATATCCTTTCTGATTGGTGTTTCTATTTTCTTGGGATATATTCCTAGACTGGGATCACTGGGTCAAATTGGAGGTGTTTCTTAATATGCAACATCATCTCAAGTGTGTGTATTAGGCCCACACTTTTATAACATCTTGTGCATAACTCTGATATTGCATTTAGTACTTTCTATTGTAATGCAGTATATATTTATCTGATTTTATTGAGAATTCCTTAAAGTGAGTGAATTTTATGTCTTTTTTTTTTTCATTGTTAATACCAAGCAGAGTACTGAAAATGGCACAGGCTCAATAAATATATTGAGAATGAAGTGTGGGTTTTTATTTTCAAATTCCCAGATCTCAAATCCTTATAGGTTCACTTACTATGACTACAGCACCATTCAAATATATTCCCTGGAAGATTATACACAGGGAAAACTCTAGAGGATTGCTCTTTCTGTGTGACAATTAGACAAAACCATTCAGCATTACTCATAAGGTCTTTGGACTCAAATTCCTATGTAGAAGGAAACCTTGACCTTGATAACCTAAGATATATTGATCGTTTTGATTAGATAAAATTACTTTTGCTTCTAAGGACTTACTGTCCAGATTTTGGTGATTTAGACCAGTGTCAGACCAGATAGATTTCATGGCCCTCATAGCATTAAGTTCACATGCTACTACTGGCCATTGATGTTTTATCTATTACAGTGAGAATAGACAAAGGGGGCAAACACAGGTAAAATCTTTATCAATGAGAAGGTTCTTTGATAAGCCCTAAATAAGCTGGCTTAGGTCACTTAACCATGACACCTACCAGAAACAGAAGCCCTGCTAAAGCTGGAGGTGTAGCCTAAGATTTTCTTTACCTCATTCATTATACAGGAGCACTGAAAGAACATTGCAGCCCAGTCACAAAGTATAGAAATGAGAACTTTAACTTATTTTAGCTTCTCTGCTCATCACACAATATAGGCATTCCTCCCTCTAGTTTTCCCCACTAGACTATATTTCACCTCTGTCACCCTCCTTACTCATGCCAAAAACTTGGAGTCATCTTCACATTCAGTCTCCATGCTGTTTATTTCCAAACTGTACTTGAATCTACCCAGTTTTCTCTACCCCGTTGCTATCTCTGTTTAGCAAAAGCTGTCTTCTCTTGTTCATACTGCTCTCATACCTTCACTGATTTCCAATTTTACTCTCCTCTCTAATCCATTCTTTACAGTGTAGCTGGAATACATTTTTTAAAACTTGCCATGCTGCCATTGTATTGAAAACATTCTTTCACTTTCATATCTCCTCTTGTGCTGTAGTTCAGCCACACTAACCTTTCAGATCCAGCTCATGCTCACTACCTGGGCTGTTCATTCTTCCATCCAGCAAAAGAGTCACTTTATTTCAAATCCCATCATTTAAGTCACCCCTCCATTTTATTGCTAGAATGTATTATTGTAATAGTGTCACAATTCACATGTGTGATTCTCTGGTTAATGACTTTCTCCATAGTTGACTGCCAACTTCATGGAGCAGAGACTGGCTATATTGTTTGCACTCAATACTAGTCTAGTGCCTGGCACGTAATTAGATGCTTATTAAATTTTATTGGATAAATGGATGACTGTGCATATTTGAAATTATAGTACTTCTTTTTGAATGATATTTTACTTGGAGAGATTTTTTTTTTAATTAAACAAATATTGGAAAGGATGACAGGAGCCCTGTTGTGTCCTACCAGTTGGTTGAGGAAGGACTCAGTTCCAATAACGTGGGACGTTTTAGTATACTTTTTTCTTCCTTATATTCATTCATAATCTTATTAATTCATTTGTTCCATTAATTTATTGTGTGCTTTATTATGTGGTAGGTGTTGAAGAAATAGCAATACAAAAGGGAGATAACATCCCCGCTCTTACATCCAGCAGGGGATATAGGCATGAAACATATATCTATAATAATTAAGTTATAATTGTGGTAAGTGCTATTAATAAGAGAGTGTAAGTTAGTTTAGAGCAATGGTTCTCATCTGGGAGTGATTTTGTCCCCTAAGGGCATTGACAACAATGGAAGTCACACCTAGGGACAGTACTATTGGCATCTCGTGGGTAAATGCCAAGGGAGTACAGGACAGCCTTCCACACCAAATGCCAGTGGTCCGAGATATGTTGTAATCAGTAATACTTTTACAGGGAAGTGGTATTTAAACAAAAGGATACATTAGTTATTAGATGAGGGCGTGAGAGTGAGTAAACATAGCCAGAGGGAGGAAAATAAGGAAAGATCTAAGGTTGGAACTCGATCTCTTCGATGTATTCAATAAGCTGAAAATGCTAGTATATGTCTCCTTTTGAGCAAAGGGCAAAAGACACAAGATTATGTCGGAGAGCTAAGAAACGGCTCCCTTAAAGTCTTTGGAGTTTTCTATGAATCACCCAGTAAATATTCAGAGTACACTTGCATCTATGGGTCTTACTGACAGAACATGGGTAGTGGATATCATTTTGGGAGTTCTTAGCAGGGATGGTATTTGAAGTTTTGAATTTATTTTAGTACCAATTTGCCAATGAGTAATTGTTATTTTCCCTGACAGCACTCAGCTACCAGGGGCAGGTTTAGAAAAAGAGAGAAGATTGGGTGCATTCAGGGTTAGCGTTTTGTCAGGTAGGTGTGAAAAAGGATAGTGTAGCCAGAAAAACAGCTGATATTCTCTCTGTGGAGACCTAGGCCAGGTAGGCCAGGATTGCTGTACAAACCAAATCCTTTCTGTTTGTTTTTTGTAGAACGCTAGTGGTTTTTAAAATGAGATTTTGGGATTTAGTGCAAATAAAATTACTGTGAATTCTGTGTCATAAACTATAATGGGTACTTTTTTCAGTAATTATTTGATTACTTTTGGATTTTTTATTAATTCTGGGAGAAGTGTTGTGTGTATATAAAATTGATGATTGCCTAACTTTGAATTAGAGTAATAATAATAAATAATAAAATTGATGATTGCCTAACTTTGAATTAGAAATAAATAATAGAGTACTTTTAGTATAGATGCTCTGATTTTATTAGATATACAATTGATTCTTTTCTCATGAAGCACAAGCAGGAGAACCAGAATATCTAGAGCAGCCATCAAGAAGTGATTTCTCAAAGCACTTGAAAGAAGAAACTATTCGAACAATTACCAAGGCATCAAGCGATCACGAAGATAAAAGTCCTGAAACAGTTTTGCAGACGGTAAGAACTTTTCTTTTCCCCCTCTGAGCATAGCCATGTTCATGACGTTTCCTAGCTCTGTGATGGACAGTGAGCTCTCTGGGAGTCAGGGGAGGCAGTGCCATGGGCTCTTCATCCACACGAACAGTGACTGGGGGCATCACCTAACACCCCAGCTGTAGTTTTTTCCTCTATAATGTTAAAAAATGATTATTTTTAAAAATAAGTTACTAACTTCCTGTTTGAGAATTATGAAAAATACAGTCATAGGTTAAATTGGTCATTGATTGGGAATAAAAAAGAGAACTAGAACATTTAGCATTACAAGTTGGCCCTTGCACAACATGGGGGTTAGGGTGCCAGCCCTCTGAGCAGTTAAAAATTCAAGTTTAAAATTTGACTCCTCAACAGCTTTACTAATAGCCTGTTATTCACCAGAAGCCTTACTGGTAATATACACAGTCGATTAATACATATTCCTTATGTTATATGTATTATATACTATATTCTTACAATAAAGTATAGAAAGGAAAATGCTATTAAGAAAATCAGAAGGAAAATACATTTACAGTGTTTATTTTAAAAAATCCACATATAATGGACCTGCACAGTTCAAATCCATGTTGTTCAAGGGTCAACTGTGTTTCTCACGCCTCCCTCAATCTCTAGTCTTACTACATTGGAATAGTTTAGAATAAGGAATAATTTTCATTGTTGCATGGAATGTGTTTAACAATAAAATACCAGATACTTTAGGTTAGAGTAGTAAATATTACCTTACACTATGGTTTCTGCATATTTCAGTAGTGTTCCGTTCAAAAATTGTCATGATAATTCTTCTGTTGGTAGTTTTCAGTTGTGTCTTTTTATAACAATAAATTGAGCACATTGATATTGCACTATGTTTTCAGTGACTGTAACATTCTGGGATATGCTATTTCAAGAATTTGGTATTACAAAATCATTCAGTTGCCATCATCTTATTTTATTAGCACAAGCAGCTCTAATATAGGTTTCATGATAGCTAATGTTAATATTTGACGATTCTCCTCTAGAGAACTAAAGAGAACAAGAGATATAATTTTTCAATGCAGTTTTCTACTTAATTGCTAAATGCACTGAGGTCTTTAATATAAGACCTCAATTAACCAAAATGTCCATTTAATAGGGTGTTGTGTTATGTTTTAATGAATGAAATAATCAGGAATTAGTTTTTAAAGTTATTTTCTGTTTGAATAATTTTGATTATATATCATTTTACCATAAAAATAATGTATTAATATCATTTTTTTATCTAACCAAATTTTGCAAATGCTCTGGAGACTCTGAATGAGTTTGAGATGAACACCTACTAACAATAGAGCACTTGTTGGCAAATACTTCTTCTTGTGGTCCTGAGCTGTGTAGTTCTTGGGGAATGGTAGAATAGTAAAACTAGGGAAGGAGAAAGGGCCGAGAAGTAGGTGCACAGGAGAAATATTTTTACCAGTAATAAAAAATAACTTGTCAGGGCCTTTGCTAATTAGGAATTTTATTTGTTAGAGCTTACATTATGGTTAATAAATAGCATTATTTTAACTGATATCAGAAAGCCTAAAAGCATTATTTAGCTTAACGTAGAATCATGATTTTTTTGTTTGTCTAATCATGTGTAATTTAAATTTGCAGAAATCACTTAAATTTTGATTGCTTAGTTTATTAATATGGATATCATCTTATAAGCTAACAACCTACTGCTTCACCTTTACTTGAGAAAGGAGGATGACATGGAGATAATATGATAATATGATAATATTTATGCTAGTACATTCTCCCAAAAAGCAAGCTGTATAACATTTGGAGAGTATCTCTCCATGGTTTCTGTGATTGTAAGCTTTCCAGGCAATTCTTCTTACACTAAGGTTGGCTAGCATAAATATTTTTCTCTTTGGCTTATTTTCTGGTACAGCACCAACATTTGGCCCCTTTGACTATATAAATCTTGCAACATGCCTAAGAATGTGTTAACATGGCTGTCTGAAGCAGCCTGTGTTCTTGGTCTCATGGTCAGTTGCTTAGACTCATGGTAACCACCATTGGGTTTTCTCATTTAAATCTATGCTTTAGAAACTAAATTGCATAGATAAAAAGAGTCTGCAGACTTTGTGATTAGATAGTCTTGATTTTTGAATATTGGTTTTACTTCTTACTAGCTATGCAAACTTGAATAAGTTGCTTAATTTCTCTAAATCAGTTTTCTTTTATATAAAGCGGAGGTGATTGTGAGGTTACTTTAGATCATTTTTTTAAAATGCCTAACTTGTAGTGTAGGCACTAAGTAACTGTTAGTTTTCTTTTATTGTTTAAATTCTAACCATTTCACAAATATACAGTATATTAAGCTCCAACCTTAGTGTAAGAAGAATTCCTTGGAAAGCTTAGAATCACAGAAACCATGGAGAGATACTCTCCAAATGTTATACAGCTTGCTTTTTGGGAGAATGTACTCAAATTTAAATGAAATATTTCAGGAAATTTGAAATATACAGAAAAGTGGACTCCCAGAAAAAAACATGCGTAGTCCCAAAGTTAAACACTATGAATATGTTAGTATGTTTTCTTCTATTCTTATTTTTATATACAGGTTTAGAATTTATCTTTATAGTTGAGTTACTACTGCATATAAAATTTCATATCTTAACTTTGCTTTTTTAAAAATCACATTATAACTTAACCGTTTCCCATGTTATAAACTCTTTAAAAAAGTTTATAGGTTGAGTATTATTCCTTTGAGTGATTAGATTCTTGTTTACTTACCTATCCCCCATATTCAATTCTACTTTTACGTTATTCTAAAGGGGCTGCTAGAAATGAAACTTTCTTCATATGTTAGGTTATTTCTTCAGCTTCCTCATAGTTGAATTACTTAGTTAAAATGATATGAGCATATTAAGGGGGACAAAAGTGATGAGATGATATAGTGCTCTAACCACCTTTTATGTGACTGCTTTCAAAAAAATTATATATTTAACTAGAGGCCCGATGCACGAAATTCGTGCAAGGGGCTCAGCCCTCACGGCCCTGGCTGCCTCGCAACCCCCTCACTGGTCATTCTGGAAGGTCGTTTCGGAAGGTTCCACTGTCCAGTCTAATTAGCATATTAGCTTTTTATTATATAGGATGGCTTTTAAGCAGTCAATAAAAATCTTTGTATTTTAATTATTTTTACAACTTTTTAACTGAGGAACTTATTTTTAACCCTTTCAAATTCATCCTTGGTTAAGATGTTTATAAAGGACATGATAGTAATTGGAAAAGATAAATATGCATCTGTTTTACTTCAGTGAACCCTTAAATTCTTTATATGAACATTTTTTATGGTACCTTAGGATATCTAAATGTGAGAACAACAATACCTACAGAATTATTATCTGCACCCAAGCTATTTCCGTTTTTCAACTTTTACCCATATAATTAATCAGTATTATGCTGTTGAAACTCTTCTGTGGTAACTGGAAAGGTTTATAAAACCCTGATTTTTTTTCTTAACTGCATTTTTTCCCCAATGGGACTGTGTAAGGATCAGTATTCTAAGGAATACATTTTCTAGTTGCTACTTGCTGTAAATTTGTCATGTGTCCCAAAAAAGTGTGTTAACATTTTAACAGCTGATAGCTCAATTTTGAAAATGAATTGTATTTTAATAAACACTGCCTTTTTCATTATTAAATGTGTGATGTACATTTTTTGAGGACACCCTATACTTTCTCTTCTTAAGACAGTATTGTTTGGGATTGGTTTTCTTGTGAGAAATTTTTTACCACTGTGTCCATACAGATTTCTTAATTTATCTGCTTATTTCACTTTTATGAATGGAGACCTAGGACATTTATTACTACATAATAAACATATCTCTATAGGATATTTGTGATGGTAATATTGGTTAGAATTATTCAAATGTAAGCAATTTAAAATAGTATTAATCTATAATAATAAAAGCATAATATGCTAATTAGATGGGACAGCCGAACGACTTTACGGACATCATTCTGGACATCCTTCTGGATGAAGCTGTGGCGGCGGGGGCCCAGGCAGAGGCAGTTAGGGGCAATCAGGCAGGCAGGCGAGTGGTTAGGAGTGATGAGGCAGGCAGGCAGACAAGCGGTTAGGAGCCAGCAGTCAAGAATTGCGAGAGGGATGTCCGACTGCAGGTTTAGGCCCGATCCCACAGGGATCCCTGCGAAATCTGGCCTAAATCAGCAGCCGGATATCCCCCGAGGGGTCCCAGATTGTGAGAAGGTGCAGGCCGGGCTGAGGGACCCTTCCCCTCACCCACCCCCACCTCCGTGCACAAATTTTGTGCACTGGGCCTCTAGTAGTATAATAATATTGGTAATGCCTGTCATTTATAGAGCAACAATTATGTCCCAGGTGTGGGGTAACCTGAATATTATCTCATGATCATGGCAAACATACAAGCTCATTATTTTTCCTTGAAAAATGAAGAACTCGAAGTAAGGAAACCTTTTCTAAAAATGTTAGTTATAAATAGCATTTCTTTTAAAAGGAACAGTGCCAGTCTTGGTCATTAGTTTTATTTTATTGTTTAATTAAATTCTTTCTGCAAATGTACTTCTGGAAAATCAGAATGTGCTCACATCCCTAAAACGTACCTTTAAATGGAAATAAAACCCTTTATTTATTAAAGTTTTCTGTTTAATATCAAAAGTAAAGTTTTTTAAAAAATTAAGTTCATTTTTGCTTAGGAAAACTTTTATGGTGCAATTTAAAATTACTCAAGCAAGCTTTATTGAACCATTTTAGGTACTTTTGAACTTTGTTCATACGTAAATACTAAATATGCTAGTTACAAATCTATACAGTAAAATAAGATCTGAGCAGTATTTTGAATGAGCTGCATTAGTGTCTTCAAGTAGACTTTTCTGGATTTCATGCTACCTTCCACTCTTAGTGTGGATTAGTGAAATTTATAGTCTTTGTTAAAGAAAATAAAAAGAAAGAAATCTGATTGAGTGGTTAAAAATAGTATCTTGCAGCTTTTAAAAAAAACAAGAATTCATTGGATACTTATGATATAAATATATGGCACTAGGTCTCATAGGCTGTTACAGAGTGAGTTAAGCACCATAGAGTATGGATAGTGAGTAGATATACACTTGATTACTAGAAAGGATAGAGAAGTAAAATCATACGAAAGAAAACCTACAAACTCTTCTGGGTTCAGAAGAATATCTTTGGGGGGTTTTTTGTTGTTGTTTTTTTTTTTTATCCTTACCCGAAGATATATTTATTGATTTTAGAGAGAAGAGAGGAGGGGAGAGAGAGAAGTATTAATGTGAGAGAAAAACATAGATCGGTTGCCTCCCATATGTGCCATTATCGGGGATCTAACCCACAACCTTTTGGTGCATGGGACGACACTCCAACCAACTGAACCACCTGGCCAGGGCAGAGAAATCTTATTTTAGTGGAGATAAAGTATCAAAAAAGCTTTATGGAGTTATTAGAATTAAAAAAAACACTTCAGCTATGAAGATAGTAGTAGGAACTGCAACTCCACTGTTTATTATTTTAAGGATTTAGAGTCCAAGATGCTTTACGGGGAAAAAGTAAATGAAAACTTAATTTAGTGTTTGAGATGAAAAGGGAAAGCTGGAGATCTTGTATTAATTCATTTGTTTCTAATACTCAGATTTAAGTGGTTTTGTTTTATACTAGGCAAATGCAGATATTTTTAAAAGACTCAAGAATCTACACTTAAACTGGGTGCTTCCATTGTTGTTCTCTTTTCTAATGTTCATACTAATGATTTTTTCCTGCAGAAACCTGAAAGTACTACAAGCCAACCACCTTGTAACCAGCAAGTTGTAGAGGTGGCGATTCCTCACGTAGGGAAATTTGTGATTGAGTCAAAGGAGGGGGGTTATGATGACGAGGTACCTTTGTCACAGCGCTCTACACTGTTCTACTTATTTTTCACTATTTAATACCATTACTTTGGGCATGCCTGCACCCTCACACTGATGTCTATTACTGCATAACATACAGCTTTGCCACCCATGGTCTGAAATTACCTTACCAATTGCTAACACAACTTTCAATTTCAAATAACAATTTAAGCAGAAAGCTTATGGAATTTTTCAGAATAATAATTTTATGTTTCTCGTGTTAATTCTCTTATGCAGATGTAGGATTGGTTTACTCTCAGGCTAATAGATTACAATAAGATTTGTTCAATTAAATAGCAAAAATTTTGAGCATTTAAAATAATTTTAATTTTCTCTTTTGCTTGAGTTATGTATTGTAATACTTTGCCCACCATTTCCTGCCAGAAGAACATACATCCTTATTACAAATAGATAATTGGTATTTTTGCTTTTGCAACCTCCATGTGACTGTGAATTGAATGATTCATCAATGTTGCTGAATGAATGCCTACCAGAGTTTTATACACAATGGGACTTCCAACTTATCTTTTTCTACCTCTCCACTATTAATTCTCATCTAGTTAGATTTCTAACAGTATAGAAGCATTTTTGCTTCTCATTAGGTGTTTTGGGGGAATCCAGATGAAAATACACTATTGTCTTGGTCCCATCAGATTTTTCCCCCCTTCCTCCACTTTTCTCTTAAGACTTTTACATTTTGATATCTTCCATATTTCAGGAAGGGCATAGAGAAGACCTTGGATTCTATCATTTTACTGGCATAGATGAGAATTGAATATACACTAAATAGTTTTTTCCAAGTAACTTTTTTCTAGACTTATTCCAAGATTATAATTAAACTATGAGTTAAAAATGTCTTTATGGCACTAAAATCAGAGGTGTCATACAGATATTAATTTTACTGCATCATTGTAAGAAAGCATGGCCATAATGAGAATAAGGGGCAGGTTTGTGAGATAGGAAATAGTCAGAAGGATTTTCTCAAGTAGTTAATGTTATTGCAACTCTCAGTATATAATCCAAAATATATACTATGAATAATAGTTTCAGTGAATCAGAGGTAATTGATGTACTCTCTCCTTTTAAAAAATATATATATTTTTTTGATTTTAGGGAAAGGAAGGGAGAGGGATAGAAAGGTAGAAAATTGAGAGAAACATCTCTTGCATGCCCCCTCCTGGGGATCAAGCTGGCAACCAAGGCATGTGCCCTAACTGGGAATCGATCCATGAATGCCTGGTTCATGGGCTGTTGCTCAATCACTGAGCCCTACCAGCTGGGCTGGATGCAATCTCTCTTGACAGCTCTAATACAATAGCTTCATAGTGCCTTGAGTTATATCATTTTTTCAGGTATTTTAAAATGTAAACAGCTAAAAATAAGCTATTATGAAAACAAAAAAATATACTTCAGTATTTAGTACTTAATATCAATATGTTGTTCTAGTTATTTTAATACTACTATGTTGGTACTTGAAAATTATAGAAACTTATGTTTTTAATAAAACGTTTATTAAGCATCTCTGCTTGTTTTAGGGTGAACCTTCTGGCATTAACAAAACAGAATTAGGATTAATCATTTAACACTATCTTTTGTACAAATGCTTATGCTACTGGCAGAGGTTTTGTTTTTTAAATGCATAGAGTGATGGTTTAACAGTGCATGTGCTTGGCACCAAGGTCTGTGGACACAAGGCTGCTGCAAATGAATGTTCGGGTTGTATGGTTGTGCAGGAACGCCTAGCCAATGGGCGGACTTGGAGTTGAAATTGAGCTTATGCTGACTGAGCTCCCCAAACCTTAATGAAGAGGCACCTTTTTAAATAAAAAGATTGTTGCTATTTCTAAATGGTTCTCTCATTCAGAGAGCAGCACATTTTTCTCATTTGTCAAGAAGGGGGTCTTTTTAAAATTGTTTGGTTCAGAGAGGATGCCTTTTTGCTTTTTGCACAAAGGCACCATATGAACTAGATGTGACCCTGTAGAGATTTTGAAATAAACTTACATGCATACTGGATCACGTTTGCTATAAAAAATGCAGCGTTTGATTTATAAGTAATGAAAAGCAAAGGACTTCTAACTTGCATGTAATTATTTTGTTTTTTTAAATTTTTTATGTTATTCAAAAACTCTTACTTTCAATCCCTTGTGGCAGATCATGATGACACCGAACATGCAAGGTATTATCATGGCGATAGGTAAATCCAGGAGTATATATGACAGGTGTGGCCCTGAAGCAGGGTTCTTTAAGGTACAATTAACGTTTTCACTTTATTTTCTTACTATTTTTAAATGAGACTTCTTAAAATGTTTTATTTCCTTGAACTAAATTTGTTTTCTTGTATAATTTCTCTTTTTCTAAAGTAGCTGTGGTTACCTGTTGTTCTGGGGGTTTCTTTTGTGCATGAATCTAAGACTGATTTTTTTTCCTTTTAATCTAGATAATTCAACAAAAACAAAGCATTTTACCCGAGTTACCCTAGTAGTGCACCTCTGTTTTGTTCACAGAAATTTGAATTATGTTTTTATTTGAAGGGGAAAAAAGGGTATTTATTGATAAGCAAAACTAAGAACTGAGTAACTCTCTGATAATAGTTAATTTTTTCCTCATTGGTATACCCTTAGTTAGTGTTATATATATTTTTTTAATTTTGTTATCACATGATACTAAATTGTTTTCTTTATTGGGTTATTTTTTAAATTATTCATTCATGTATTATCTTTTTATGTTTTTATTCACTTATGTTTTCCCCATGGTTAATTTTTGATATCCTGGTCATTTCAAAGCATGTGAGACAAATCAAGCTGATGCATCATTTGATGACTCAGTCTTTTTCCCCTCTGATTCCAGATTTTTAAAATGTTTTTATTACAATATTATTGCTTTTACTTATTTGTAAAACGAAAACACTGTATATTTTTGTCATTTTATTTAGATTAACTGAAAATCTAGGATTTTTTCACTCCTATCACCTTGTTAGTGTTTGCTTTTTTTCTATTAAAAAAAACAAAGTTATGGGGTATAGTTCACTATAATTGATGCATGCTCCTTTACTTCACATTAAAAATCTAAAATTTTCGATTTTCCACTTGGTCTTGGTGGTCGAGGTTCAGGAGTTCACACCTGGGACAATGGTGTGCATTCCTTGTATTGTCATTCCAGTTCTGCTCTGGGTCTACAAAAAGTTCCTAGAGCCGTACATATGCCCTCTGATTTCCCCCTTTGTTAGTTGCATATGGCCTAGAAAAGCTATGTAAGAATCCAACGATACAAGCAAAGGCAAAGTAGACTATAAGGGTGCAGACATAAATAGATTACCAACACAAGGATCAACAGAAATCTCTGATAAAAAGAAAGACTAAAGTGATTGTCCCAGAAGACCTCATTGTTTTCAAAATAGACCTAATAATGTGAAGCACCTTCTTTGTAATTGTCTCTGACCTTTTTTTTTTAGACCAGAATTTGAGATGGATGGTTTAGATATTTACTTGATATTAATCAGGAAATACATGGTATTTTATTTAGAATGTATTTAGTTATGTTTAATGATCTCATTCCCGAGTTCCTTTTTCATTAACATAGCTTTAATAATATGAATAAATAGGAGGTCTGTACCAGTAGACATTGTTACTAAATCAGTACCTAAACATCCTTGGGCTTCTAGCTTCTGTTCAGGCTCTTTGAATTTGAGTGGAGTATATTTTTACTATGAAACAGTACAGTGAGCCTGTGCAGTGAAATGAAAGGGAGTGTTTGGAGGTGATAATGACTTGAAACAAAGTTATAATTACTGCCCAACACAGTGGAGCTCCTTATCTGCGAGAGTAGAAATTACAGGTTATTGCTCTGAAGAAAATAACAAAGATAAGAAATTGAGGATATTTCTTTGGGAAAAACGGAACAGTTTTTACATAAATGTCTAATCTATACTAATAATAGCCTAGGGCAGTGGTGGGCAAACTGCGGCTCTTTGGCCTCTTGAGTGTGGCTCTTCCACAAAATACCGACTTCTGCGCATGGGCCACGAAGTTTCAATCGCACTGTACATGCGCGCCCGCACATGTGGTATTTTGTGGAAGAGCCACACTCAAGGGGCCAAAGAGCCGCATGTGGCTCACGAGCCGCAGTTTGCCGACCACTGGCCTATGGCAAACCAGTTTCCATTAGTGGGAAGAAGATACAATAGAACAGCCTGGAAACCGCAAGTCTTTTTCCTTATTGATTCTTTATCCCTGGGCTCCAGAGAAATAATGGCCAGGTCCCTTGTTGGGTCCCTCGGAGCCCTGTCTCTTCTCCTCTGCTCAGCCCTGCTGATCATCGGTGTCCCAGAGCAAGAGGGAGAGAAAAGCTGGACTTAGCAACACCACCCACCCAAGGGTTGGGGGTAGCAGAGGGACATCGTGATTTTGGAGTCACACAGACTCCGCCAGTTAGAGCTGTGTAACCTCTCTGAGCCTCGGTTTCTTCATCTAGAAAATGGGTATGATAATAGTTCCAGCCTCAGTGGAATGTTACAGACTGTGCATGAGATTATACACATAAGGCTCTCAGCCCGGTGCTTGACAGGTGCTAAGCACTCACTGTTGCCACTGTGATTATCTGCCCCCTGCCCTCACTGGGCTTTATGAACCCCAGTGCTTAACTGGCAATGTAGGCAGCAGGTGTGGAAATTGCCTGCTCCATGTCCTGGGGCGCCTGAGAAAACTCGGATTCCGGATTTCGGATTCTGGATTCTGGATTCCCGAGCAAGATGGCTCTGCAATATGAAACCCCTGAGGGTCAGGAGTCCAGCTGGGTCCTAGCATGTGCTCCCTGGGTCTCCGGGGCAATACCGCTGCCTTCCCTCTCTTCCCGGCACTGTCCTGTCCTGCCTCAGTTGTCACTCATGATGGGAATCCCTGCGTCATCTGTGTGCACATCTGTTCCCCAGCAGCCCCCACTCCGTGTGCCTCCCAGCTCTGCCCTGCTCTTGGGCAAATCACTTAATCACTCTGCGCCTTTGTTTTCTCATCTGGAAGCTGGGAATAATAGTGCCGGCCTCCTGGGGTTGTGGATCAAACCAGGTCACCAGGTGAAGCACTTAGAAGAGTGCTGGGGCCTGTTTTAAGTGGCCATTCAGTGTCAGCTGTTCTGTTATTGCTGTTGAAAGGCGAGTCTTCTAGGAGTAGGGGTTCTACTAGGTGCCACTGTCCTGTGAAAACCCTGAATGAGAATCTTCAGCCTCTTTCAGAAACTGTGAGCTCATTAGCATAACAAACCACCTGTGAAGGACCTTTGACTCCATTAACAACAAAGAGTAAAAAGCCTGAGGCCCGGGCCTGAATGTCTGTCCTGTATACCAGTAGGTTGCTGGTTAGGTTCCCTGTCAGGGCACATGCCCAGATTGTGGGCTCAATCTTTCTCTCTTTCTTCCTCTCTCTCAAATAAATGAAAACATATTTTAAAAAATAAAGTTAGAGTTGAAGCCATTATGGTCGCATGGCTGCAAACTAGAAGAAAACATAACTCAACGAGAATAAGAGACTCTTTAAAAAAAGAAATTATACCAATAAAAATAACATAGAATTTATCTATGGAAGGAATCCATGTGGCTACAGGGGAAATCGCTAATGAGCCTAGATTTTAAAAGACAGACTGGGAAAAATGTATTTGCAGCAAATATCCGATAAATACTTAGTATCTTTAACATATAAGAGCTCACACAAATCCTATATAATAAAAGCCTAATATGCAAATCAACCAAACTACTGAAGGACCTGTGGAATGAATAGTCTCTATGACGCGCACTGACCACCAAGGGGCAGATGCTCAACACAGGAGCTGTCCCTGGTGGTCAGTGCGCTCCCATGGGGAGCGCCGCTCAGCCAGGAGCCGGGTTCACAGCTGGCTAGCGCAGCTGCAGTGGCGCTAAGGAGCAGTGAGCCAAGAGGTAAGGAGCAGCGAGCAGGCAAGTGGTAAGGAGCGAGGGTCCTAGACTGCAAGAGGGATCCTGGACTGCGAGAGGGCACAGGCTAGGCTGAAGGACCCTCCCCCGCCCCCCACCCCCTCAGTGCATGAATTTCATGCACAGGGCCTCTGGTGTATATTATAAAATTCTAATCTTTGTTCATTCCTACAGAATGTATTAAATACTCAGCTTAGCTTGTGGTTGGGGTTTTGGCTTTTTTTTTTTAAGTTTAAATATTTCTTAAAAGAGATATTTTTTACCATATCAGAAAGCAGAATTATAATAGCATGCTTGCCTCTGGACAGTTCTGAGACAATAATTTTTTTAAGTAGATTTTATCAGTTATTTAGGGTTGCATAACAAGATACTCCAAAACTTAGTGGTTTTCAACAATAGTGACATGACTGGACAGTTCTTTGCTGATCTGGGCCTCTATATGGTCTTTCACCCCTGAGCTGCTTAACTTTAGGGACTTCTAAATGTTCAGAGGTGATGAACCATATCTTTATATCATATTTATTTATTCCCTCTGAAGCAGGGAAGGTTGGAAGAGACTTCTGCCTTTGGGTCCCCAATGAAGTCCTGGGTCCTAACCGAGGCTCTGTTAAAGTATATGTGTGAGCAAGTCATTGATTCACCCTGGTCTTCATTTGATAGAAATCAGTAGGTTTCAAGTGTTCTGCCCCAACCCACCTGAGGGATAAGATAAATTTTCTTTAGCAGCTAAATTCAGTTGATTACTTTAGTTTGTTGTTTAAAGTATAAAAACTATATTAAAAAAAATAGCAGATGTTCATAGTAAACCAGTGCAATGGAAAGTTAAATGAAAAGTTCATGTTCTTTCACTACTCTCATTCCCTTATTCCATCTCCACAAATGTTAGTTCTTTTGTGTAGCCTTCTAGCAACTTTCTTAACATTCCTTTGTTTTTATTAAATATAACATTTTTTAAAAATTGTAAAAAAAAATCTAAAAGTTTCTTTTAATTTTTTCTACTGTTCCATCATCAAACACCATCTTTAAAAATACTGCTTATTTTCAGTAGTTTTTTCAATATATAAAACAAAACAAAGGCCTTGTGCATAGTAGCCTATATCAATAAACATTTTTGGACTTGTTTGGATTAGCATGACCAACCATCCTGGTATACCCAAGACTGTGGAACTCCTTAGAGAAGGAACTTTAAGTGCTAAAACTATAGAACTTCTAGCAAAATGGTCCCAGGATGGGTTGATCACCTTAATAAGATTTAAGAAAGATTGAAAAACTACTCTTAAACAAAAAACAAACTTTTATGTTGAAA